CCCCCCCCCCGATCAATATTTGGAGATGTTCGTACAGCTAGGCATTTGAATTATATAATCGTTTTAAATTTAAATCTGGAACATGTGGTTATAATTACCATTTACTTATATACAGAATTTCATATTCTATAATGGTAGATTTGTCATTATGATACTGAAGTGTTCAATTTACATGTCTGAGAGAGAGAGAGAGAGAGAGAGAGAGAGAGAGAGAGAGAGATGCCCTCTTAATCCCAATCTCCTATCCATTTACATAGACCAAAAATTAGTTCTATATCAGTCACACCCTTCTTTATTAAATGTTTTCCGATTTCATAGTCAGTCATGGTCACATCCTGTATATTTTTCTGCTTAAAAAGTATCACAAGAAGTGCACGTGTGTTGATCTATCAATCAAAATCACCTGACGCTGTATCCACTGCAATTAAGTAGCCTGAGTTTGAAATGATCTTGAAGTATGATCTTTAAGTAAATCTGATGCAACAAACTTGTGAAAGAATAAAATAAATAAAAAAATTAAATATCTCGGTATTATGAACTTCGATTGTGGGACCTGGAGACCGGTCCTTTGGATGAGATCGTATAAATCGAGGTCCCTTGTCGTAGAAGGTGCTGGCAAAAAAAAAAGATTCCTCACTGCTCAATGGCGATAAATGCCAAAGTTTAGGACAAAAATTTGCAGTCTCCATCGGCGAGTGGTGGCGTCTCCATGTGAGTGAAAAATTCTCGAGAGGGGCGTTAAACAACATATAATCAATCAATCAATCGATTGCTGAATAATTACTGTAATTGAATAATCTGTTTTATAGGTATACTGTCAAATCTTGATATTATAACTTTACAAAACTCAGTGACTTTACGTTTAATGTGATACTAGCTTAATTCATTCTATATTTTTTTTTATAACACCATCACAATTATGCAAGAACATAAACACAGTGAAGTTTATGATAGTACGGTGTTCGTTCGTCTGTTTGTTTGTCTTAGAAATGATTGCAAACAATTTTTTTTAAATTGCTAATTATCATGCCAGTATACAAGATTGATCATGAAAATCAATGTACCTTAAGTACTTAAAGGACTTTTTTCCAGTTATTTTTTTTTCTTTCACAGTAAATATGATATGTATGTTTTTACACAGAAAAAAGCAAATTCTTACAGATTTAGAAGAACGGAAGACTTTTTTGTTGCCATGGCAACAAGAATCTAGTTTTTATTATTATTCCTCCCAGATTTTGTGAGCACAATTACTCAGAGATGGTTGGATAGATTTTCTCCATTTTTCACATGATAGTAGGCTGATATATTAAGTTTATATTAAATTTCGTTTTTTGAAAAATTCACTTCCGGTAAGATATGGCCGAATTTCCAATTTTTAGGTCACCTGAGTGATGAGTCACTCAGGTGACCTATTGCTATCTGTTTTTGTCCGTCGTCGTGCGGGCGTGCGTCATGCGTAAACTTTTCACATTTTCGACTTCTTCTCAAGAACCACTGGGCCAATTTCCACCTAACTTGCCACAAACTATCCTTGGGTAAAGATGATTCAAGTTTGTTCAAGTGAAGGGCCACACCTTCTTCCAAGGGGAGATAATTAAGAATTAGTGAAAAATTAATGGTATCTTTTAAAAATCTTCCTCTCAAGAACCACTGGACCAGGTAAGATGAAATTTATATGGAAACATCCTCAGGTAGTGTAGACTCAAGTTTGTTCAAATCATAACCCCTGGGGGTAGGGTGGGGCCACAATGGAGGATCAAAGTTTTACATAGAAATATATAGGAAAAATCTTTAAAAATCTTCCTCTCAAGAATAGCTAAGCCCTGATTGCTCATATTTATATGGAAGCATCTAGGGTAGTGAAGATTCAAGTTTGTTCAAATCATGACCCCCGGGGGTAGGGTGGGGCCACAATGGATGATCAAAGTTTACATAGATATTATATAGGAAAAATCTTTTAAAATCTTCTTCTCAAGAACAGCAAAGCCATGATGAGTCATATTTATATGGAAGCATTCTCAGGTAGTGTAGATTCAAGTTTGTTCAAATCATGACCCCGGGGGTAGGGTGGGGCCACAATGGGTGATCAAAGTTTACATAGAAATTATATAGGAAAAATCTTTTAAAATTTTCTTCTCAAGAACAGCAAAGTTGTGATGAGTCATATTTATATGGAAGCATCCTTAGGTAGTGTAGATTCAAGTTTGTTCTAATCATGACCCCCAGGGGTAGGGCGAGGCCACAATGGATGATCAAAGTTTACATAAAAGTATATAGGAAAAATCTTTTAAAATCTTCTTCTCAGGAACAGCAAAGCCATGATTGGTCAATATATGGAAGCATCCTCAGGTAGTGTAGATTCAAGTTTGTTCAAATGCTGACTCCCTGGGGTAGGGTGGGGCCACAATGGGGAATCAAAGTCTTACATAGGAATATATAGGAAAATTTCCTCTTCTCAAGAACAGCAAAGCCATGATTAGTCATTTTGATATGATCAAAGTTTTACATAGAAATACACAGAAAAAATCATTAAAAATTTTCTTCTCCAGAACCAAGAAAGATAAAACTTATCAGGAAACATCCTCAGGTAGTGTAGATTCAAGTTTTTTCAAATCATGACCCCCTGGTGTAGGGTGGGGCCACAATGGATGATCAAAGTTTTACATGGGAATACATTGGAAAAATCTTCTTCTCCAGAACCACTGGGCCAAAAAAGATGAAATGTGGAAACATCTTCAGGTAGTGTAGATTCAAGTTTGTCAAAACCATGATCCCCAGGGGTAGGGTGGGCCACAATGGACAATGAAAGTTTCACATTGGAAAATGTAGGAAAAATCTTGAAAAAATTCTTTTCTCAGGAACAGCAAGCCATGATTGGTTATATTTACATGGAAACATCCTCAGCTAGTATAGATTCAAATTTGTTCAAATAATGACTATGGACTCTGGGGATAGGGTGGGGCGGCAACGGACAATCAAAGATTTACAAAAGCTTCTTCTATGAGTTTATTTTATACTCTATGGATCTTCTATGGATTGTTGTTTTATACTCAGGTGACCGTTAAGGCCCTTGGAATTTTTCTCAGAAACGGTTTGGGGTAAAGATGTGAAAAATACAGGAGTATTAGATCATGACATTCTCTTTGTTTCGAAGTTGTTTTCGTGTGTTTCCGGCACTTCCTGTCCGAACCGGAAGTGAACTTGTGTTTGTTCAACTTTTAACTTTTTAGCTCTTCTGAGCCAAAGGCTCAAAGAGCTAATGCTATGGCCATTTGTGCGGTGTGTGTAAACTTTTTAGAATATGGGCCATAACTCAAGAACCCCTTTGCCAATTATTGTCAAATTTGTCACAGGGTATCCTTGGCCCAAGGGTTCCCGTTTATACTAAAACAAGGGTTGTGACCCTTGAACAAGGGAAGATAATTAGGAAAATAGAAACAAAAGTACTGGTTGCTAAAAAATCTTCTTCTCAAGAACCACTGGGCAGATTATCACCAAACTTGTACAAAAGGATGAGGATATGTTAAGGATTAAAAATTGTTCAAGGCATTACCCTGGGACAAAGGACGTGGTCTCAAGGTCACTTCAAAGTTGACCAAAAATTACATTTTATTAAGATGTTGATATTTTGCTTACTATAAGGACTAGGATCATCAAATCTCAGTTGATGCATCTAAGGACCTCATATCATGTTGACTCAAAAGTAGGTCATGATGACCTTGCAATCCTTGTAGTTGAATTTTTTCACAAAATTTCAATTTGATGGTCATTATTTTTTAATTCACCCTTAGGACTCAAAGTGAAATGCTACTAAAATTGCGAGATTTTTGTGAGAAATGCAGGGATTTAACAAGTGGTAACTGATTAATAGTAGTTGGTTGATTGAATTGTGCATCATCATCGATTTGAAAGAAAAGAATATTTAGGGATTTAACTAGTGGTAACTGATTAATAGTAGTTGGTTGACTGAATTGTGCATCATCATCAATTTGAAAGAAAAAAGTATTCTGATTATGGACATTAGGAGGTTAGGATATTGAGCTCAAGTAAACGGTAAGTCTCTTTTACCAATAACTTGCGTAAACTTAGTGCACAATAGTGGGTATGTTTCAACATTAGATCTAGGCTAATTCATCCAAGTTTCAGTCACAAAACTTTCTTCTTTTTTTTGTAAGCAAAAATTGCATGAATAAGCCCAAAGTGAAGGAGATGCGACAATGGATGCATAAAACAGTTACAATATCCAAGCTATATATATACTTTAACCCTACCAATTCGTAGATCGCATACAACACACCCATATTTAATTAACAGTTTGCTTATTTACATGTTTCATGCTTTACTCCTGTAAGATAATTTGTCTTTTGTAAGCAAAGATTTAAGGATGCGATTGCAAGGTGTCACGTTATCGAATCATGTGATGTTTGAAAAAAGAAAATTTATGGTAATGGTAATGGGGGGGGGGGGGGGGGGGCGTGTATTGAAATGCATGTAGCTTCAAAATGAAAGTGATGACTGTACTTCATATTTTAATCATAAGTCACCTACAATAATAAGTACAAAATATATTAGGTTCTGGAAAATTCATTGGGTAATTTTTTTGTCAAGATGTCGAAAACTGTTCTTGGGGTGAAAATATTACTGTAAATTTACAATGACTACTCCCCAAAGCAACTATGGCATCACTACAACTATGAATAGTTTCCAATACAATTTTTATTTTCAATGAATATAAAGCATATTATTTAATATGTGGTGTAATTTATTTACTTTGTTTCAATTTTGATACCTGTATGGCATACTTAAAATTTCACCACATATATATCAAAATATTGGAAAACTATTGTTACCATGGCAACCATATCATCCTTATAACCCTGATGATCATGGTTGACATTTTCTTATTATGATACCATTAATGTAAGGCAAATTATATATAAAAATGAGAAAAATCTTAGAGCGGATTTTTTTCACGGACCCTTGCAACCTCTTCCTTAACCCTTTCAACACAGTAGACCGAAACATCGGTCAAAAAAAAAAATATCACTGATCACTGTAGACCGGAATATCGGTCTCAGGCACATGGTGAAAGTAAACAAGTTATTCTTAGAAATAGAAAGTTTTCTCTGCGCAAAATCTTTCGCAATGAATTCTGGGTAGATAGACATAACATCCATTACCAAATATGGCAGACCACATGGTAAGAATCGCAGAGAAAATAAGAAATATGAGACGAATCTCGAAGAAAGAAAAGAAGAAAGCAAAGTGGCGAGTGACGGCGAAGAGTCAGATCTTTCTGGGGACGAAAACTTTGATGATGTTGGAAATTTTGACTTAGTCAACCTTCCCAGATGACAACAAAATGCACTCGAAAGGCAGTTCCGAGATTTAGTTGGCGAAAGTGACGAGGATTTGGACTTTGAAGGTTTTGAACCTGAGGACGCATACAGGACCCCCGAGTTTGTTGACTGGGAGAAGACAGAAAACAGAAGAGATATTTATCCATTTCCTGGGTGTGTTGGCCCTGTCTGCGTTTTGGATGTTTCATGCAAAGCTGTAGACTTTTTTCAAATGTTTTATTCCCAGGAATTATTTGAAAAAATAGTGGAATATACCAACCTAAGCGCTGCAACAAAACGAACCGCTGACCCAGAATATCACAATGGGTCTTGGACTGATGTTACTGTGGAAGAGATGAAGGCATATTATGGAATTCTACTACTGATGGAGGTCATGACATTTGAAAGAGATGAACTTTATTGGTATAACAATGAGAAATACTGGGTGATTGGGTCCAAAATTGGAGAAATAATGACCAGAGACCGCTACATTCAAATCAAGCGTTACCTTCACTTTAGCGATGACAGAAACAACAATGATGACAAACTACACAAAGTAAGAATGATTTTAGACACCCTAAGATCATCATTCCAGCAGGAATACATCCCACATCAACATGTATCTGTTGATGAAGCTATGATTCCATTCAAAGGGCGACTTGGCATGAAGCAGTACATGAAAGACAAGCCTATAAAGTTCGGAATCAAAATGTGGGTAGCAGCAGACGCAGTAACAGCCTACTGTCACAATTTTGAAATTTATGTTGGGAGGAATAACGATGTCATAATCAACAGGAAACTGGGACTCTCCTCACGAGTAGTCATCGGAATGACAAAGCCACTGGAAAATAAAGGGTACGTCATTTACACGGACAATTTTTATACTAGTCCGACTTTGGCTGACTATTTGTATAACACTTATCTCTGTGGTACAGTTAGGCCCAGCAGAAAAGGATATCCCAAAGCCATGATTCCTACAGCAAGAGATGCACGGAGAATGCCACGAGGTACGTCGGACTGGCTGATGTGTGGACCGTTGTTGGCACAATATTGGAAGGACATTCGCCTCATGTATTATCTAGCGTCATACCACAGACCAGAAGAAGATGATCTCGTCACCACCAGAAAGAACAAAGATGGCACTGAAGTTGAGATTCCTGTCACACCAACAGTGAAGGGTTATGCTGCATACATGGCTGGTGTTGACAGACTTGATCAGATGTCGAAGATGAACAAGTCCAAGAAATCCCTTCGCTGGTACCGCAAGATTGAAATCCGCCTGCGAGAAATAGCTCTGTACAATTCATATATCTTAGAGGGAACAGTTTTGGACCACAATCCAAGAAACAAAAGGAAACGAGACATGCTCAGCTATCGACTTGATGTTGCCCACCAACTTATAGGGGATTACCGCCAGGAAAGGAGAGGATTCAAACGTGCGCGTTCACTTGATGCACAACCAGAGATTCGACTTGACGAAAAATCCCACTGGCCTGCAGGTACTGGAAGTGGCAATACAGTGTGTGTTTTGTGCAACAAGAAACATGTGTTGTACAAAAACAGTCATCCTGGATGTTCTGTGGCCGAAAATCCAATGAAACGAACAAAAACCACCATGAAATGCGAAAAATGCAATGTTTCTTTGTGTTGTAATGCAAGACGCACTTGCTTCAAAGACTACCACACAAAAGTCTATTACTGGCAGTAGACTATTGCAATAAAAACTTGAAGAAACTAAAGCTAACTAGTGAAAAGTGTACACATTTTATTGACTTGTGACTGGTGATGAAAAACTCTGATTTTTAGAGAAACGGTGACATCATTCATTTGAAATTTTTTTGGACTTGTGTTGATAAAACCTTATCATGTTTTATATCATTTTGTTCAGGAAATATTTGTCTTTCAATTGAGAAAGAATTTGTATATTTTTAAAACTTCATAGCAGCAAATTAATCAAAATTTATTAAAATTTAAATTTTCAAATGATTTTTTTTATAATTACATTATTATTTTAATTTTACTTGTAAATAATTGTTCATGAAATTTACATATCCTCAGAGAGAATTTAATTGCCTTTTAATGCCCCCGGATCGAAAGATCCCGGGGGTATATTGTTTTTGTCCTGTCTGTCTGTTTGTCTGTTTGTCTGTTTATCTGTTTGTCTGTTTATCTGTTTGTCTGTTTGTCTGTCTGTCTGTTGTCAACTTTAACCTTGCCCATAACTTTTGACTGGTTGGAGCTATGACTTTCATATTTCACATGTGTATTCTTTGTGACAAGACCTTTCTTTGGGTACCATCATATTTGTCCTTTTGACCTTTTGACCTTGGAGTTTGACCCTCTTTTGCAAAATTTTATGAGACTTTAACCTTGGCCATAACTTCTGAACAGTTGGTGCTTGGGGTTTCAAACTTCACATGTGTATTCTTTGTGACAAGGCCTTCCTTTGGATACCAACAACTTTGACCTTTTGACCTTGACCTTGGAGTTTGACCTACTTTTGAAAAACTTTAACCTTGGCCATAAGTTTTGAACAGTTTGTGCTTGGGGTTTCAAACTTCACATGTGTATTCCTTGTGACAAGACCTTCCTCTGGATATCAACTTCTTTGACCCTTTGACCTTGACCTAGGAGTTTGACCTACTTTTGAAAAAATTTAACCTTGGCCATAACTCTTGAACGGTTAGAGCTAGGGCTTTCATACTTCACATATGTAATCCTTGTGACAAGACCTTCCTTTGGATACCAACCACTTTGACCCTTTGACCTTGACATAGGAGTTTGACCTACTTTTGAAAAACTTTAACCTTGGCCATAACTTTTGAATGTTTGATGCTAGGGCTTTCATACTTCACATATGTAATCCTTGTGACATCACCTTCCTTTGAATACCAACCACTTTGACCCTTTGACCTTGACATAGGAGTTTGACCTACTTTTGAAAAACTTTAACCTTGGCCATAATTTTTGAATGGTTGGTGCTAGAGCTTTCATTCTTCACATATGTAATCCTTGTGACAAGACCTCTCTTTGGATACCAACCACTTTGACCTTGACATAGGAGTTTGACCTACTTTCGAAAAACTTTAACCTTGGCCATAACTTTTGAATGGTTGGTGCTAGGGCTTTCAAATTTATATTTTTTATCTTTTGGCCTGGATTTTGACTTGCATTTGAGAAACTTTAACCTTCGCCATAAGCTGCCATACGGGGGCATCAGTGTTTAACAAACACATCTTGTTAATGATGTATTACTTAATAAATTTGATGAAGAAATAAAGATTTTATGATGATTTTTCTAACGTACCCATTTTGGCTACTGATGAGCAAAGTTACTCAGTGTACCAGGCTCTGGAGATCTTGAGTTACTCAGTGTTGAAAGAGTTAATAGTGAATTTATAAATAAAACAGTTCCAATCTTAAAACTATATACCCTAACCCTAATCACTCAATCAAATGCATTTTGTTTAAAGTGAGGGGAAAATGGCAGTTTGTTTACATTCTGCCTAGCAACAGCAAGGGAAAAAACCACTCAGTCGTGTGATTCTAGGAACCGACATACTATTGTTAGGCCATTATTTATACACTGAACTGTCTACGGATTTCTCTGTTATTACCTGGTCATGACAAGGAGCACACGGCAGGTGTGACCTGTCAGCAGGGGATGCTCACTCCTCCATGGCACCTGATCTCACCTCTAAATTTTGAGGTCCGTGTTTGCTCTGCTTCAAAGAGCCATAGCTGCCTCTACGACGACACGGCCGACTCAAGAATTTAAAAGGAAATCACCTGTTTCTATTTATAGATATACCTTTTCAATTCAAGATCAAACTATGTAATATGATTTGAGAACGAGTGTTATATTTTCATAGTTGCAAGTATGTCAAATTACAATCATTTAATTTGTTCAGTACTCTAATTTTGAGACAAAAGATTTAGAAAATCAATTAAAATAAAACAAGTAGCTATGAATTTGCAAGCTTTAATAAAATAGTTTAGGACTGTCTTTTCCCGAGATACTTTCAAAGTGTAATGTGTATATTATAACTTTCTGAAATTATGTATATTATAAAACGTAATAAAGAAAAACGTAGAAAAGATGCACAAAAAAAAAAAAATTAAAGAAAAGCATAAATGGAAAAATGTGGGGCTCGAACTCGCAATCACCATATTTACATTCCAGCAATCATACCACTGCGCCAACGAAGTGAATGACGTCGGATGGATAGATTTAAGACAGATTGCTAAATCTTACGATTATATGAGAATTAAGAAAAATTGAATATATATTTTCATCATTTTGAATATGAAGACCACCTTTAACCAAAATTATCTAAATGTAACGAAGTGCAGTCAAATCCAAATAAAATTATCCAAAAGTTGTTTTTCTGGTTAAGGGTGGTCTTTGGCAACAGTGTGTCATCTTTAGGTGGATACCTCAATATTTACTACCGTATATACTCGCCTATAAGTCGGTTTTTTAGCTCACCTGAGCTGAAAGCTCAAGTGAGCTTTTCTGATCACCCGTTGTCCGTCGTCCGTCCGTCTGTCCGTCTGTCCGTCTGTCCGTCCGTCTGTAAACTTTTCACATTTTCAACTTCTTCTCAAGAACCACTGGGCCAATTTTAACCAAACTTGGTACAAAGTATCCCTGGGTGAAGGAGAATTTAAATTGTTAAGATAAAGGGCCAAGTCCCCTTACAAGGGGAGATAATCAAGAAAAGACAAAAATAGGGTGGGGTCATTAAAAAATCTTCTTCTCAAGAACCACTGGGCCAGAAAAGCTGAAACTTATGTGGAAGCATCCTGGGGTAGTGTAGATTCTAAATTGTTAAAATCATGACCCCCGGGGGTAGGGCGGGGCCACAATAGGGAATCCAAGTTTTACATTGACATATAGAGGAATAAATCTTGAAAAATCTTCTTCTCAAGAACCACTGGGCCAGAAAAGCTGAAACTTATATGGAAGCATCCTGGGATAGTGTAGACTCTAAATTGTTAAAATCATGACCCCCGGAGGTAGGGCGGGGCCACAATAGGGAATCCAAGTTTTACATTGAAATATATAGGAAAAATCTTGAAAAATCTTTTTCTCAAGAACCACTGGACCAGAAAAGCTGAAACTTATGTGGAAGCATCCTTGGGTAGTGTAGATTCTAAATTGTTAAAATCATGACCCCCGGGGGTAGGGCGGGGCCACAATAGGGAATCCAAGTTTTACATTGAAATATATAGGAAAAATCTTGAAAAATCTTCTTCTCAAGAACCACTGGACCAGAAAAGCTGAAACTTATGTGGAAGCATCCTTGGGTAGTGTAGATTCTAAATTGTTAAAATCATGACCCCCGGGGGTAGGGCGGGGCCACAATAGGGAATCCAAGTTTTACATTGAAATATATAGGAAAAATCTTGAAAAATCTTCTTCTCAAGAACCACTGGACCAGAAAAGCTGAAACTTATGTGGAAGCATCCTTGGGTAGTGTAGATTCTAAATTGTTAAAATCATGACCCCCGGGGGTAGGGCGGGGCCACAATAGGGAATCCAAGTTTTACATTGAAATATATAGGAAAAATCTTGAAAAATCTTCTTCTCAAGAACCACTTGGCCAGAAAAGCTGAAACTTATGTGGAAGCATCCTTGGGTAGTGTAGATTCTAAATTGTTAAAATCATGACCCCCGGGGGTAGGGCGGGGCCACAATAGGGAATCCAAGTTTTACATTGAAATATATAGGAAAAATCTTGAAAAATCTTCTTCTCAAGAACCACTGGACCAGAAAAGCTGAAACTTATGTGGAAGCATCCTTGGGTAGTGTAGATTCTAAATTGTTAAAATCATGACCCCCGGGGGTAGGGCGGGGCCACAATAGGGAATCCAAGTTTTACATTGAAATATATAGGAAAAATCTTGAAAAATCTTCTTCTCAAGAACCACTGGACCAGAAAAGCTGAAACTTATGTGGAAGCATCCTTGGGTAGTGTAGATTCTAAATTGTTCAAACAGGACCCCCCGGGGTAGGGCGGGGCCACAATTGGTATTACAAGGAGAGGGGGATCTGGTAAAGAACAGCATGGCCAAAGTTACTCAGGTGAGCGATGTGGCCCATGGGCCTCTTGTTGGGAGTTAAATTTTGGTCCAAAACTCTATGTCCGACTTATAGGCGAGTTATAAAAAGATCGGTATTTTAGAGGGTCAAGCCCTCTAATATAAGCTTAAAAAATACAACCCACTTATAGGCGGACCGACTTATATGTGAGTATATACGGTATATACTCCATACAAACTGGATAATTTTCATATTTATCATATGAGGGAACTATTAATACTGAAATATCAATATTGTGTGGTTTGGTTTTATGCATGTGTAAACTAAGATTGTATGACAAAATTTTGGTTAAACAATGAATTTCAGAAATCACTAGTAGAGTAGGCGAAAATGCCTATCAAATGCGCTATGGCTCTTTGTATCGTTTCATTGGACTTCTGAGATTGAATACTGTTCGTTATCTTCATATTTCATACTAGAAACTTCCCTTTTTTACCAACATAAAGGCATGAATGTCTAAACTGAAACTTACATTTATGAAATAAGAAATAACGTAGAAACATGACAAAAAAAATTGGTAAGACCATTATCCATGAATTTTCATATTCTCTAAACTGCATTTTATTAAACCCACAAAAATTGTTGCCCATGAATATTGATAAAACCACCATATTGTCATTCATTTTGAGGATTATTGCTATTCAGAATCTCTTTCGTAATTAATTTATTAGGACAGTTATATATTGAGAGTTAAATTCTTTGCAGATTCCTCTAAATGTGTGTCTGAGACATGGGTTGTGAGACAAAGGTTGGAGGATCTGTACAAGAAATTACTCCTTATGGATTTGGAGTATGCCCTGGATAAAAAAGTTGAACAGGACTTGTATGCTTAAGATTTATAGTATTTTAACATGAATTTATTTAATCTACTCTTTCATTGTTAACTAATAGCATAATATGTCACAATGTCTTTCCTTGCTAAATGATTACAAAGAAAAGATAATTACAGGAAAAATCCAATTTATAAATTTCAGATGGAACTATGCATTCAAGAATCACATCAACATTTTACAGATACAGACAAAGGATAGACAGGTAAATTTAATATTATGATAGAAAATTTCCATTCAGTTTTTTATACATTAATTAACCCTTTGTGTGCTGACTTGTTTTAAGTGAGTGGTAGCCTCAGTACTGAGTTGTTTGGAATATTGACAAAATTGTCACATTGGCATACTTGAATGCAAGTATCTCAAAATTTTGACAACCAATTTGCATGAAATTTGGCAAATATGAAGGAAATATTGTGTTTTTTGAATTAATAAAATTTTTAGCTCTTCTGAGCCAAAGGCTCAAAGAGCTAATGCTATGGCCATTTGTGCAGTGTGCGTAAACTTTTTAGAATATGGACCATAACTCAAGAACCCCTTGGCCAATTATTATCAAATTTGTCACAGGGTATCCTTGGTCCAAGGGCTCCCGTTTATACTAAAACTAGGGTTGTGACCCTTAAACAAGGGGAGATAATTAGGTAAATAAAACCATAAGCACTGGTTCCTGAAAAAAACTTCTCCTCAAGAACCACTGGTCAAATTATCACCAAACTTGTACCAAAGGATGAGGATATGTTGTAGATTAAAATTTGCATGAGGAATAGCCCTGGGGCAAAGGCCGTGGTCTCAAAGTTACTTCAAAGTTGACCAAAAGTTACATTTTATTAAAATGTTGATAATTTGCTTACTACAAGGACTAGGATCATCAAATCTTGTCAGTTGATGCATCAATGGACCTCATATCATGTTGACTCAAAAGTAGGTCATGGTGACCTACTTTTAAAATTTTGCAGCCATTCTTTTTCAAAATGATTTAGAGGCATGTTTTAAACAATTTAAAACCTATGATCATCATACTCTGTCAGTTGATTATCTTGGGTCCTCAGAGTACGTCAACTAAAACGTTGGTCACCTTGACCTACTTTTTGAATTTTATGGCTAATCTTTTTCAAAACAATTAAGGTCATTAATTCGAATACTGAGAGGTTTAGAATCATTAGATCTTGTAAGATGATGCATCTTGGGGCCATAAATCTTATTTATTCAAAAGTAGGTCACAGTTTCCTACTTTTTGAACGTTGCAGGCATTCAATTTTGAAGCATTTTAGAGGTATAATTTGGACATTTTAAGGCCTATGATCATAAAACTTTGTAAGTTGATGCATCTTTGGATCTCGAAAACGTCAACTGAAAAGTAGGTCATCATGACCTACTTTTGAAATTTTTTGGTTTTATTTAAATATTTTGGGTACTATTTGGCTTAGAATCATCAAAATTTGTCAGTTGCTGTATCTTGGGTCCTCGGAGTAGGTTGACTGAAAAGTAGGTCACTGTGACCTACTTTTCAATTTATATGATTATAATTAAATTTTTTGGGGTACTAATTTGCTTAGAATCATCAAAGTTTGTCAGTTGATGCATCTTGGATCTTCAGAGTAAGTCAACTGAAAAGTAGGTCATCGTGACCTACTTTTGAAAATTTATGGCTTTAATTGAATATTTTCAGGTACTAATTGGCTTAGAATCATCAAACTTTGTAAGTTGATGCATCTTGGGTTCTTGGAGTACAACAACTGAAAAGTAGGTCATCATGACCTACTTTTGAAATCTTATGGCTGTATTTAATTATTTCGGGTACTGTTTGGCTTAGAATCATCAAACTTTGTCAGTTGATGCATCATGGGTCCTCGGAGTACGTCTACTGAAAAGTAGGTCACCGTGACCTACTTTTCATTCATATGGCTATAATGAAATATTTTGGGTACTAATTGGCTTAGAATCATCAAAATTTGTCAGTAGATGCATCTTGGGTCCTCGGAGAAAGTTGACTGAAATAAAGGTCACAGTGACCTACTTTTGAAATTGTATTGCTTTATTTAAATATTTTTAGGTAATAATTGGTTTAGAATCACCAAACTTTGTCAGTTGATGCATCTTGGGTCCGCAGAGTTAGTCGACTGAAAAGGTCACTGTGACCTATTTTTGAAAGTATGATTCTCTATAAGTTCAATGATAAAATCACTTAAAAATGACATTTTATATACAGTCAAACTTGTCATAGCGGTCACATTTATCCAGCGGTCACCTGTCCTATGTGGTCATTTTATTTCCTCCCGATGAATTTTCCTATATAATGTAACCCTATTAAGCGGTCACCTGCATAACACGGTCAGCGGTCATCAAATTTCATGTAAAATTGCCTTTTACCTCATATATAGGGCTATTTTGTCCAATCACGTGACCAGATCTCCCAATTTTGTCACTAATGTAAATAATTAGTCTAGTATGGCGAGATCATGGAAAAATAATTAGCCTAATCAAAACCGTTTAAAATATTTGATAATTTATTTATTTTATTTAAAGAAAACTCAGACAAGGGTGTTACACATGTAATGACCGAAATGGTTATCAGGAAAACGAACTTATGAAAATCTTACATTACGGAAATGGAATCTGGTTTAAAAAATTCTGAGTGATATTAAAAAAACAATGCATCCTTATTTATCTATTAATGGGTACAATATTTAGGTGTTTCCTAATTATTAGTTCACATTTGGCATGCCCAACTCAAATAGGTGTTATTGTGTAAACGTATGGCAGTCAGTTTTTAACACCTAGGAAATGTATTATTTGTAGAAACCCTAAAACTGTTTTGTATACACAATGTGTCCTGATTATCTCGTGATTTTCACCTAGGTAAGACGATTGTTAGGATTAGTCACACTTCATTGCTCATAACACCTGTGAATTTGATATCAATTTGTATTGTGCACTGCTTTGATCAACTGAGAGTACATGACTTGTCTGTTTATTACACAATGATTTGTGTATTTTTAAACATATAATTGTTAATTTTACGTAACTAAACGTGATTTTTTAGGATACAGTTTAGATAAAAATACATTATATTTAATTCATGGCATTGCATGATAATTTCTTATAATAAAAGAAAGTTTTGTTGTTGTTTGGATGGAGGATAATGCAATGCCCTATTAAACTCATATATTTTTTGTCTTCAAATTTAGCTTGAACTTAATCTTGAGACTATTAAAAATTTATTTAAAAAAAAAAAAACTTAGTGAGACAATTGATGTCCAAAACACATCCTTCTTTAATATTCTATGATGTAGTATTGTAAAACACGGAACTAACATAAATTGGAAAAGAATTTTCTTGAAAAAGATGAACCTCTCTTCAAAGGTCACCTCTCTATAAAAGTCATTTTTAATGATTCCTGAAGGTGACTGCTTAATACAGGTTTGACTGTAACTTTAATCATTCTATTTTATGATTCTGATGTTTGTTTTTCAACATTGATCACCTAAGTCACGTGATTTAGAAATAATAAATGGTGGTCTAGGAATGAAAAATTGAGGGTATCTCTATAAACATCAGGTTTCTATGCATGTTTCTGAATTTAAATGATCAAAAATTGTCTATTTATGTCAGACATATAACAAATAAAAGTAATGAATACAAAGAATGTTTCATTTAAGGATTAAGATAATTTTTATGACGTGAATTTTGATACATTCACATTTTGCATATTTTGAATGTAAATCTTTATAAAATGCACATCGTGTGGTGTTGAAAAATGTTTAATTATCATTTAATTTAAAAGTATTATTTCATATAAGTTTTATTTGTAATTGTGTATTATTTTCATAGATGTCCTACCTATTTTAAGCATGAAATTCTCATATAAGAAATATGATTTCGTAGTATCTATTGAACTTACACAGTTGTGTATCAATTGTTGAAAACATTGAAGGACTTTTTTTTGTGAAAGAACAAAAATTGAGTTGGTATTAATAAAATAAATTCTAAATTAAAAAAATAAAGACTCCATTAACATACAGGATTAAAATATTAATGCAATTTCATGTTGATTAATCATATGAGTAGTGAGTGTATAAAATTAAGAACAGCTGTATTAAAAATATATACTGGTATATAAAATGAGTTAACATCGTTAGAATTGATTTGATTCCATTTTATTTCGCATGTATAACAATAAATTTAATCAAAAATGCTATGTAAAATAAAATACACAAATGTATATATAAAAGTCAAGTCTCTGCCCCCTTTTAATGGAACTCCATAAAAACGGGGAAGATTTTCAACAGCTCTTTTCATTATGCTTATCAAAAGTTTTAGTATATCCATGGACTAACATCTCATGTATAAAATGGACCCTAAGGGTTTGACGCTCGCTTCGAACTCTTGAGGCCAAAGGGTTTAATTCTCATTCCCAGTGCTGCGCGGCTAGTGACTGTTTCTTTGCTAAGTCTTCAGCGTTAAAATTAAAAGTCATGGGTCTTTTGGATATTGCCTTAAAAAAGGAGGTCGCATCAATAATGAAACCATGCATAAATCAAAATTATGACACTTCACCTAAAGCGGATAATCTCTTTATTTGTGTGAATAAAATCTAAAGTGGCGTAAAGCAACACTCAATTATCTAACACATATAACATTAGGAAACTCCTGGCCCCCTTGGCATTTCATTTTTTAAGACAGAACTGCTGTTCTTGTAGTTAATAAAGTTACCAAAGATGTATGTTCTTCGTGAAATCCAAATAGATTGATTCCTCTCAACACCTAGGTAACACAAAATATTTGATCTTATGTCACTGATACGGAAAAATATGAGGGTCCTTCTGAAAGGTTGAGGCGAAAATTCACATTATGAAATCATCCTATTAGTAATTCCCTATGTATAAAAGTTACGTATGTACCCATAGAAAAATAAGCTAATAACACAAATAGCAAATGGTCGCCGGCGTGGCGCAGTGGTTAGAGCGTCTGCTCTAGAGTCGCGAAGTAAGGAGTTGATCCTTACATCACGGGTTCGAATCCCACTGTGGGACGGGGAGACAGATCCTTCGGATGAGACCGTATAAACCATTGTCCCGTGTCGCAGTAGGGTGCTGGCACAAAAAAGATCCCTCACTGCATTGTTTTTTGTTGTTTTCTCTCTCTCTCTCTCTCTTGTTTGTTTCATTTTTGTTTTCTTTCTTGCTTTCAACATATAAACAACAT